CTTCTAAAAATTGTCGACTTTGTCTATACTAATTGTGATTACCATTTCAACTGTGTTAATTGAATTTTTGTGTTTTTTTTTTATTTTTTATTTGAAAGGAACATAATTATTCTCATGTTTAGGATACTGGTATTGGTATGACAAAAGCTGAAGCAATTGATAATTTAGGTACAATTGCTCGATCAGGTTCAAAATTATTTATAGAAGAATTAAAAAAAGAAAAAGGTGCTCTTGACGAAGGAAAAATTATTGGTCAATTTGGTGTTGGATTTTATTCAGCATTTATGGTAAGATTAATTTTTATTTCTATAAATATTTATTTAATAAATATAATAAAGGTATCAAAATCAGTTGAAGTAATAACTCGATCATATAAAAAAGATGAACCTGCTTATCGATGGACATCGGATGGGTATGTTTAGATTTTTTATGTGATTAATTGTAACAAAATCTTTTAATAGATCTGGTTCATATGAAATTGAAACTTTACTTGATGATGTTGATCGTGGAACATCAATTCGATGTTATTTACGTGATGATTGTGCTGATTTTAGTAAAGAAGAAACTGTTAAACGTAAGAAAAAAAAATTGTATAACAAAAAAATATTCAATTAATATTGAAATTCTTCTTTAATAGAGATCGTCAAAAAATATAGTAATTTTGTCTCATCTCCGATTTATATTAATGATATTCGTGTTAATAATCTTCGTGTATGTTTCTTTTTTTTATATTCTATATATTTTCAATATGAATTTATATTATAATTGTTGTTTTTATTTTTAAATAGGCTTTATGGATGGAAGATAGTAAATCAATAACTGATGATGAACATACTGAATTCTATCGTTTTACTACTGGTCAATATGATAAACCACGATATACATTGCAATATAAAATTGATGTACCAATCAATTTAAGAGCACTTATTTATGTACCGCAATATAAACCAAGTTTGTTAAAAGATTATTCTTCAAATTTTTCATTTGTATATAGAATTTTTTGTTTTTAATTTAATATAGATATATTCGATGTAACACAAGAAGCTGATGTAGGTGTTGCTTTATATAGTCGAAAAGTATTAATTCAATCTAAAGCTAATCAACTTTTACCACGATGGCTTCGCTTTGTTAAAGGTAAAAATTATTTCTAATAAGCGATATTTCTAATTTATCTATTGACCATGAACATACATTAAGAGTAGCCATATACTAGTTTATTTGTTGGTAAAGGAAGTCTTTTCTGTTATTTATTTGTTGCAATTATTTTGTTAGCATATGCCAACAAGACGATTGAGATAGATAGATGACAGATACAAGACCGTCCTTACTAACAAACAAACTAATACATATGACCACTTCTTCTGTATGTTCATGGTCGACGAGCAAATTAAGTATATCGCACATTGATATAAATCATTATCATTAATTATTTATCTTAGGTGTTGTTGATAGTGAAGATATTCCATTAAATTTAAGTCGTGAACTTTTACAAGACAGTAATCTTATTCGGTTAGTTTTCTTTTCTTATATAGATATATTAAGAAAACAATATTTCTTCTAGAAAAATTCGTTTACTGTTAACACAACGCGTGATACGTTTTCTTCAAGAACAAGCTAAAAAAGATAAACCTAAATATCAAGAATTTTATGAAGATTATAAATTATTTTTTAAAGAAGGAATTGTTCGAACAGCTGATCAAGGTGAAAAAGAAGATATTGCTAAATTATTACGTTTTGATTCATCACGTGAAGAACATGGAAGTTTAATCAGTCTTGATGAATATATTGAACGTATGTTACCAGATCAAAAACATATTTATTATTTAGCTGGACCATCAAGAGAATTATGTGAAAATTC